ATAAGGCAGTCATATGCACAATCTGTGAAAATGTATACATTATATAACAGTGAGTGTTATGTACTTATAAGAAAATGTTCATAAGAATAGTTACCAAATTTTACATTTGAATGAGCAACCAATTAGTTGAAGTCTGAAGAATAACATAATTACCTTGGAAGTGAGTAACTTCACTTAATAATACTACGATTAATTTTCTCATCTCATAGACCTTAATATTCAGGGAGGAAAACTCAGGAAAATGCTTTCCGAAAGTAACCCTCTAAGAGTGGGATATTTTTCTTTTGCATGCCTAACATATATTTTATTGGATAAGATTGCCTTGCTTTTACTTGTCTAATTTTGGTTAATTCTAAAATTATTAAAAATTACAAGTTCCTTTCTCATCCCAGGAATCTGTCTTATTCTACTCTTTTGTACATCACAAATTTTGCCATGTGTCCCAAGAGACACTAGAAGCTCTCAGCAGAACAGTGACATTTCCAGGAGGCATTTTGCTCCTGGTTTTATAAGCAGTCCCCAAGGCAGATTGTTTGTCTCACTCGAAACTAAAGCCAAAGCTGTCTTCCACATTAATACAGAGAATAATGGAGTTTTCCGCGGCCTGTCTCTCTGCCTATGTTTTTCTCAATCTCTCTCTAACTCAATCTGTCTCTTTTAGTTTGACTCTGGTGGTTTTTCTTTTTCTTCTTTTTATTGGTCTGTGACTCTGCAATAGTGCTTTTTTCCCTCATTGTTTCTTTTCTTTTCCTGAAGCTCATTGCCTTGCACTGTGTCCCAAAGGATTCAGGGGTATTTCTAGGAGTCAAATCACTGAGAAATTGAACTCCAATACTACAAAGAGACTGATTGATTTCATTCCTTCACCTTGGTGTTCACAGTGCCATCAGTTTCTCTTCTCCAGAGCCCTGTTTGCATACACTGGAAAAGCCTGGATAGTATATTGTCTTTAGCTATCTCACAATGGCAGCCTCCAGCATCTTTATGCAAACTGTAAGTACAGCTTAGATTCATCATATGACAGACAGCTCAGTATCAACAACTCATTATATCACAAAAGTGGATACCAACAGATGTGAAATCATCAACATAAATAGACACTATCCTCCATCCAGATAAAAGGTCTTAGGCTCTACAAAGGTCAGAAAAGTCCATCTCTAAAGTCAGAAACATAACAGTGCCCTTTAAAGAGCTCTTCTGAACAAATGTCCCATGTCTGTTTGTTTTACAAAGAAAGAGTGTTTGCAGAAACAAACATCGAGATTGATATGGGCATTAGTCTTGGGTTTGAAGCAGTGTTATAAAGAGAATGATAATACATCTAAAGAGCAACAGGAAAAGTATGCCTTTTTTATGTGAAAGCAAACAGCTGACTTTAAATGGTGTTAACGAAGGCAAATAGATCATTTAAAAAGTTAAATTTTATTGATAATAGTAACCACTACCAACATCATATCTGTCTACCCAGCTTCATGTAAGAAAAAGGTAAGAATGTGCCTGATTTTCTATATTCAAAGAAGTGTAGCACAATTATGATTTCTTGTTATATAAAGCAAAAAAGGTACATATACCTTTCAATATATGGTCTATTTTGTGCCAGACAATGTGTTAGATTTTTTTTGTCTGTCATCTGAATGAATTATCACAGTTGCTCAAAGGCACAGCTGAAATAAGGACACTTAGGCTCAGAGAAGTTAAATAACTTGCTCAACATCATATATCTAATAAGAATGATTACCTGACATATGGTTTTAAAGACAAAATCACCAGTTGTATCTCTGTTAAAAACAGGCAAAATGAAAACTGTGGATGACACAGAATTGTGCTCTAATTCCTTCTTTCCTCCTGTTTCTATTACTTCCAGAAATTATGATTTAAAAGCAAATCTACTAATTCCTTTCCCCATCTAGCATCCTTGGTCTTCCTCCTCAATGCAGAATAACTCACCCAGCTCCAATTTTCCCTCAGAATCGATGTGCCTCTGTCTTATTCTCAATCCTATTCTAGTCACTATGAACCCAATGAGCCTAAGAAGACTTGATTGATTTCAGTGAAATAAGCCTCATTTTCAAAGGCTTGGCTATTTTGTTTTAGCTGAGATTACATGTTGCTGTAACCTGGGCCCCTACCAAAAGAGAGGGATAAAAATAACCTCTTAAACCTGGCAGCAAGATTTCAAAAGTCTGAGAGAAATAAAGTATAAGTTATTCTGTCATGTAAAAGATAAGCCATTTTCTATTTCTTTGAGTATCTCACATCCCTCAAAAACCTGCCAAAATGCATGTCCTTTAAGAAGCATCCAGTATTAACCTATACTCATCCTGACCACTCCTCTTCACCCTATCATGATCCAGGATTTATATTGATATTTTGGCCTTTACTGTGCTTAATTTTAGACCTGGCTTCAAGTTGTTTTATTTCAAGATGTTACCAACATTGTCCACTGGCCCTTGACTGAAGATAAAGATCCTATACAATGAAAATATCCCTGAACATGATACCTAGACTACATTCAGAAAGCTCAGTTTGCTGCTAACAATCCAAGGGGTTGTCTGTATTTCAAGTTGTTTAACTCTGTGAAGCTGTGTTCTTTGCCTGTCTAAAACACCTGATTGGTCTAATAAAGAGCTGAATGGCCAATAGCAAGGCAGGAGAAAGATAGGTGGTGCTGTCAGGCAGAGAGAACAAAAAGAGGAGGAATCTTGGAATAGGAAGGAACAAGAGACAACAAGGAGAGGAGGAGCTTGAAAAGAAGGGGCCAGTGACCCACCTATACAACCACCAACGGAGTGAAATATAAAGAAGAAAAAGAAAAAGCCTAGAGGCAAAAGTTAGATGGGATAATTTAAGTTAAGAAAAGCTGGATAGAAAAATGCCAATCTAAGGCCGGACATTCATAATTAAGAATAAGTCTCTTTGTCATGATTTTGGAGCTGGCTTTTAGCTCCCCACAGAGTAAAGAGTCAAAAACCGACAACTACAATGGCCATTCTGACTGGAGTGTTATGTTCAGGAAGCGGTCTCTTGTACCAATTCATCCAAGGGTACATCCCACTTTCTCTTCTAAGAGGTTCAGTGTGGCTGGATTTATGTTGAGGTCTTTGATCCATTTTGACTTAAGTTTTGTGGCTGGTGACAGACATGGATCTATCTGCAGTCTTCTACATGCCAGCATCCAGTTATGCCAGCACCATTTGTTGAAGGTGCTTTCTTTTTTTTTCCATTGTATAGTTTTAGCTTCTTTGTCAAAAATTAGGTGTACATTGGTGTGTGGGTTAATATCAGGTTTTTCAATTTGATTCCATTGGTCTACCTGTCTATTTTTATGTGCCAATACCAAGATGTTTTCACCTTTATCATGAAGGGATGTTGGATTTTGTCAAAGGCATTTTCAACATTTAGCGAGATGATCATGTGGTTTTTCTTTTGCAGTTTGTTTATATGGTGGATTACATTGATTGAATTTTGTATGTTGAGCCATCCCTGCATGCATGGTTTGAAGCCTACTTGACCATAGTGGATAATTTCTCTGATGTGTTCTTTGATATGATTTGCCAGTATTTCATTGAGTATTTTTGCATCAATGTTCATGCGGGAGATTGTTCTATAGTTCTCCTTCTTAGTTGTGTCTTTGTGTGGCTTGGGTACCAAGGTAATTGTAGCCTCATAAAATGAGTTTGGCAATGAACCTTCTGCTTCTATTGTGTTAAACAATTTTGAGAGTATTGGTATTAGCTGTTCTTTAAATTTCTGGTAGAATTCTGCACTGAAGCCATCTGGCCCTGGGATTTTTTTTGTTGGGAGACTTTTCATGACTGCTTCTATTTCATTAGGGGATATAGGTCTGTTTCAATTGCTTATCTGTTCTTGATTTAATTTTGGTAAGTTATATCTATCCAGAAAATTGTCCATTTCCATTAAATTTTGAATTTTTTGGAGTACAGGTTTTCAAAATATAATCTGAAGGTTCTCTGGATTTCCTCGGTGTCTTTTGTTATGTCTTATTTTTCGTTTCTGATTTTTTTTAATTTATATGTTCTTTCTTTTGGTTAGTTTAGAAACAGTTTTGTTTATCTCATTGATTTTCTCAAAGAACCAACTCTTTGTTACATTGATTCTTTCTAGTTTTCTTTGTTTTTACTTTATTGATTTCAGCCCTCAGTTTGATTATCTCCTGTCTTCTACTCCTCCGTGGTGTGTTTGCTTCTTTTTGTTCCAGGGCTTTCAGTTGTGCTGTTAAATCTCTACAGTGACTATTCTGTAGTTTCTTCATGTGGGCACTTTTACTACTATGAACTTTCCTCTTGGCACTGCTTTCAAAGTGTCCCACAAGTTTGGGTATGTTGTGTCTCCATTCTCATTAAATTCTAGGAAGACTTTAATTTCTTTCTTTATTTCTTCCTTGACCCAGGAATGATGCAATTGTATATTGCTCAATTTCCATGAATTTGTAGGGTTTATGCAATTTGTGTTGTTGTTGAATTCTATCTTTAAAACCTGGTTGTCAGATAAGATACAGGGGCTTATTCCTATTTTTTGTACCTGTTGAGGTTTGCTATGTTGTCGAGTATGTGGCCCATTTTAGAGAGGGTATATTCTTTTGTGTTAGGATGGAATTTTCTATAGATGTTTCTTAAACCCAATTGGATCATAACTTCTGTTAGTTCCTTTGTTTCTTTGTTTAGTTTCTGTCTAGTGGTCCTGTCTAGTGGTGATAGTGGGGTGTTGAACCCTCTCACTATAACTGTGTGAGGTCTTATGTGTGATTTTAGTTTAGGAATGTTTCTTTACAAGCATGGGTTTCTTTGTATTTGGGGCATAGATGTTCAGAATTAAGACTTCATTTTGATGGATTTCTCCTGTGATGAATATGAAATGACCTTCTTC